GCCCCCCCCCCCCCCCCCCCCCCCCCATCCCACATGAATTCACCTGAAATCAACTTGTTGTGATTGTTTTTATGATTTGAATAGAAGCTAATGCCAAACATCTTTGACATAATCAGTGGGTTTGTGTTCCCGCTCCACTAATCCCATCATCAAAAGTCCTGAACTGGATGTGGATGTGATTCAGCACAAACCCACTGCTCCTCTGCTTTTTGGGCCTTTTGTCTGTTTGTTTTTTTGGTGTTTCGTCAAGATGTGTTTGCCTGTGCTGCTGTTGCCCCACCCTCAGCATCTTCAGCATCTGCATTTGTTGTCCAGTTTGTCGCCATGACTCTTGAATTGGAAGCTTGATTGGGATTCTTTTTTTTTGGAGCCTGATCAGGACATTGCTCTTCCTTTGTCTTTCAGGAGTTTAACCATTAGAAGGGCGCCATCTACTGATGTGAGTGGTAACTACACAACCATAAACTGAAGCTGTGATCCAATTGCATACTACATACTGGTTCTATCCATAGGTTTGTGTTTACACCTTAAAAAAACACAAATTATACTTAACTGCACCAGCGAGAAGACTTGACAGAACAGATACAATGTATTTTAGCTATAAATCTGACAACAGAACACTTAACGTATAGGAAACTCCTGGCCTTTTAACTTTAAAATCTTTCTTCCCTGCTTCAAACGTTGTGACGAGTGAATTCTAATGACAGATTAAAAATATGAATACTGCTACAAACGGTTCAGTCACAGACTCGATACAAAACCACTAGGGTCTGTATGACAAATTGTTTCTCATGCACAAGGACACGTGACATGTAACAAAGGACGCTGAGAGGAGCCAAACCACAGATGTGTGGTATGTTCAGGGCGCCCAAATCAAGTGTTAAAATGAGTTTAGCACTGAAAGCGAAGCTGCATTTCAAACTTAAAGAGACAAGCTGACCATTTAGTTACTGGTTGGGTTCAATCTGGACAGACTATTTTCATTTTACACTGGTATAATCTTCTCCTAAAACACCAGAAAAACTACTTGGTGCGGCATTACATTGCTGTGTTGGTCATTTTGTTGGACCCCCATCAAGGCACTCCTAAGAGACCGGCTGTGGCTCTGTGGATTCCTCACATCTGGGTCATCTCAGCAGACTGTGGTAACCAGTTACAGACTGGGAACAATCACAGAGTCACTCATTGTGTTTCTGTTTCTTCACATTTTGGAAAGGTCTAGAACAACAGCTCATTGCTGCAAGTTACACCAACGGCCAGTTGAGTCTGACAGTTTAGTGTGCTGAAGACAGAGTGTTAACACTTTGGTACTAAACTATATTAATTAATTTACCAAATTACCACAGTTGCACCCTGTGCCCAATTTAGCTAGCTAGTTAGCTAGCTGACTTGCTAGCTACGCACGGCTAGCTAAAAATACTTTGCTAGGGATTTAGCGTCTTGTTTCTCTCGTCCGTCACTGTCAATCGACCTACTTTGTGCATATTTCCCACTTCTACTAAAGTGAAAAAACTTTCTATTACTTCATGTAATGCTTCACTCAATCATATTTAATGTCTTATTGTGTGTGGCTAATGACTGGTGTGCTGAAGGTTAAGTACTCATAGTGATGAAGGTTAGCATTTTGATTTCACAGCTGAAAACCTTGTATTTGTGTTTAGTGACACATCGGTTTCTTCCTTTTGAATGTAAAAATATTCACTTTTAGGTTCACTTTATTCTCTAATAAGATTCTGTTTTTAGCTATGAACACACATAATATTCAAAATGCACCTGCAGTTTGAAGACATTGAAACTGTCACAAAGTAGAAATTATTTGTAATCGCTCTAAACCAAGACTGTTTTGATAAACATATAAAATAAATCAAAATGTACTTGTACCTTATTTGCATATGCAGAACCATGTTTATTGGCACACAGACAGAACACATCGCATCATCCTGATGTTCTAGAACTGATGTCACACAAGTTCTGCTGCTGCTTGTCAGTTTGTCATTTTGTCATTTTATTGCTAACGAGTGGACAGAGAAGACATATTGATCTCCTAACGAAACCAACCTCTCGACAAATCGAACCAACTCGACTGATCGACTCGACAAATCCTTTGTGATGCTGGTAAGTCAGTTTGTTTCTCCCTCATGTAGAAAAAGTGTGTGAGAACTTCAAGATACAATATGAAGATGCGTTTATGAACAGAAAGCATGTGCTGCTGCTCTTTTTTTCAAAATTTCTCATATTGAAAGTTGGATATTCTTCAAGAAAACTGTTAAAGATGTGATGAAACAACCAAAGTGTAAGTGAACTCTCACTTCTACTGCCGTCTCATTGTGTGTGTAATGTGGTTCTCATACAATCCATATATTCATGTCCTAAACAAAGGCGACCTCCTCCCCAGCAACTATACGCTGCAGAAATTAATGGGACGGGGAGCCTTCGGAGAAGTGCTCAAATGTGTCAAAGAGGACACCAACGAGACTGTTGCTGTAAAGATCCCTCAATTCGGCGAGAGAGCCTCAACAATGAAGTAATTACACATCAGCATGTTTATATCGCTTTTATCTAAATATCAAAAATCTTTCTCCTGAGATTAAAGCTTGTGTCAACAACTACTCATCACACTTGTGTTCCCTAGTTGTCTGTCCTGAACGAGTTAAAGTGTAAGAACCTGGACCAGTGTAACATCGTCGGGTTCATTGACTCCTTCCCACTGAGGAACAATACAACTGCTCTCGCCTTCGAGTTGCTGGAAATGACTCTGTGGGAGTACCAGAGAGACGTCAAAACCCTGCATTTACATGACGTCAGGAGTATAGTCCAACAGGTATGGTCACAGTACAGTACCCACCCTCAGTAGCATCAGACACAACACTAACGTCAAAATGCTGTGCGTCCACCCTTTGAATGGCATTGCTTATCTTGCATTTGGCCACAGCCTTTTATGCCCTGAAGACCATTGGAGTGATCAATGCAGACGTAAAGTTAGACAACACCATGCTGGTGGACAGTAAAGCGCAGCCACTCAGGGTGAAGCTCATCGACTTCGGACTGGCTGTTCCGTCCTGTAGTGTGACGCAGGGCAAACGTCACCAAACAATATACTACAGGTGAGCTACAGAGAGACTCCAATCACATTCTTCTATGTTCGCAGGAGATGTCTACCATCCGGTCAAATACGATGGTGTTCCTCATTCTGTGTTGGACATTTGTTTCATTCTCAGGGCTCCAGAAATTATTTTGGGACTTCCATTTTCAGAGGCCATTGACATGTGTCTCTTGGTGTTGTGATGGCGATCATGGTGCTCGGTGAAACGCTCTTCCCAGGCTGCAGTGAATACGATACGGTAAGTCATTAGTTGAGTTTCCATCCACCTGTTTTTATGCGCATTATCAATTTGCATTTAAAGAAACCTGAGTGGAAACGTGGACATTTGGAAATGAAAAAGCTGATGTGTCAATAAAAGCAAAATGCGAAGTGCAATGGAAACAGATTGAGCGAATAAACGATGACGTACATGAAGCATGTGACTTCAACGTCCACTGAAGCTTCTACTCCATTGAAGCTTCTGCTCCATTGAAGCTTCTACTCCACTGAAGCTTCTGCTCCATTGAAGAGAGGAAAAAACGCTCCACACAGATTTGATGTAATCTTTCTCATTAACACGTTTTCACCTTTTGAGGTTTGACTGCTGCATTTTTAATTACGTTGCGCCCTTTTCCTTTGCAATGGTATAATGGTTTCACCGACACAGAAATGGAGCCGTGTACTGCTTATTGCAAAAATTGCATAATGCTAGTGTATGGAAAAAAGCATTCATTCATTTTCTTTTACAGATTTTCTCAGAATTCGGTTCAAATTTGTGGTACATTTTGATGGAAACTGCTACTGACTGCTTCCTTTTTCCTCTCTTCTTATGAGATTTGATACTGCTGCATCCACATATTCTTTGCTTTATCTTAAGAACGATTGACTCTAAACCCAGGTGTTAGAATCGGGACGGAAAAAGTCAGATCAGTGCGCTCCTAGATCGTTTTTACAGTTAAGTTTAATTCAGTGTTCCTCACCAAATTGGTGAGGCCTAGCAAATTTGTTGACTTAATTTCCATCATAACAAAGCAAGAAAGCAAGGCTGACCTTTTAATAATGGCTCATGACACATTTCAGTTGGTAGTATTGAGGTTTGATACCCAGCCAGAGCTTCATAGTGTGCCTTTTAAAAACACTTCAAATATCTCTGAGTTTGAAATTTTCCGACCTCCAAGTAAACAAAAATCATGGCTGGCTGTGACAAACTTATGTTTCACAATGGTCACACAATTGAATTCTCAGCAGTGCAGCCTCGACATTTTTTGACATTTTTAACATTTTAGCAAATAACTTTTGTGCAGAGAAGATAACTTTCAGAGATTGTTTACCGTAACCAGCTACCCAATAACCTTAGCAACATATTTTGACATCAATTTAAATGCAGGACAGGTTTAACTATGTATATGATGGTAAGTATTATTCTAATTCAGGTTAGTTGATGACATCAGACAACTTCTTCTTAATGAAGTCGGGGTAGATGGATTTTCCCTCGGGTTCAAACGTAGGAACTGCGACTTTGAGTGGTGGAGGTCGGAAATATTTAAGTTCGGAGATGTCTGGAATGCAGCAGTAAATCTAACCAATCATGAACTTTTAGGTAATGGGATTGCATGACGCAGATTTTGCGGCATTTCTGGGGCAGATGTTATGTAATCTCTAATGTGAAAGACACAATACATCATTCCAAATTATAGATATTATTTTGACTGTGGGAGATGAATGGAATCCTGTTCTTATCTTGGTGTGATGCTGTGTTTTTGTCTACAGATGCAGTGCATAGTGGAACTCCTGGGTGTCCCTCCAGACTATCTTCTGAGTGCTGGGATGTACTCCAAAATCCATTTTGTAAAATGTTTCATCGGTCGAGATCAAAAGTTGTGTCTCCCTTAGCATTCTCTCTTCTGGTTGAGATTTATATTAATCAGTTAACGTCATTAAGAGCTATCTGAAATACCTTATTTTAGACACTTCAGGAGCACCACGAAACAGGTCATTTCTGCAACTACAGAGCCTACAAATTCCGCAACCTGGACGATTTGGAAACGGTAGGTGTTTAGATGGATTGTTCTGTCGCTGCTACAGATTACTTTTTAATTGATTCTGAATCAGAAAGTAAAAAATCTGCTGGATTTGCCCTTTCGTTTCCCGCATTAGTTGCCCCTGACGAACCTTACTGAGGTGGAAGCTCATGAAAAGATGGAGTGCATTGACCTGCTGAAGGCAATGCTTCAAATGGATCCTGACGACAGGTGAAGTCCTTGCCAAACCATTCATCATAAGAGAACCCTGCCAACCTAGCGCAGGGTAAGTGTCTGTGTTTGCAAGTGGGCTGAAATATTCTACTACTTTATATACAGTTAATTTATGAGGAGTGAAAATATTTTAGGCACCCATTGTAAAAAGGAATTTGGTCATAATGTCTCGCCTGATTTAAATAAAGGTTGAATAATAAAACAAAAAGAAAGCTTTTTTCTAATCTAGAAGTTAATTAGGTAGTAGCTAGTTAGCCAGTCATGTTAATGTTACCAGTTTGCGTTGGAGCAGATATACAGTACAACACACTGTTTAATCAATTCCTTACACTTTTATCTTCTGTGTTTTTTGGATTTGGAAGGGTGAAAAAACACTTTTACTTCAGCCCCATGTACACTCTTTTGACATTGTTTGGCATCTGCTGCATCTTACAGTTGCTGAACTATGATTTGATTAATTCAAATTCTTTATTTTCACCAGTCTAAATATAATTAGAGATGTCTTTTATTACTGTTCTGACTCCTCGTGATGAAATGTGGTGACGATATCTGTGACATCAAGAATTTATGATCATTACCATGTGATGCATTTCATTTAAATTGTTCCTTTGGTGATCATTAACATGTAACGGAACTTATAGTAGCTTTGTGCCGTCGGAGTTTAAAACTTGGTGAGACTATTTCCTCCTCATGTCGGCCATATCGGATTTTAAACCACAAATAGCGGATGAGTTGGGTGTCTGTTGAACTGCTTGTGTTGTAATTCCACAGCTCCAGTACCAGCAGTGGATTTCACGGATCAACCTCAGATGCATTACATCCAGGTGTTATCTTGGTGCAGCCTGCACCGGCTGACTGCTGCCAGCGGTGGGATGAGGACAGCGAGTGAATATTGGTGAGATGATTTTCTCTGGACATGTGAGTCATCGGAAAATGCCAACTAGGAAGTCAGATATTAACTGTGTGTGTGTCTTAGTTCATCGGATCGGCAGGACGACCTCTCCCCCAAAGGGGTTAAATGTGACCCCCCCCCCCTCCCATTTTAACAGTGGGCTGTAACATGGAACAGGAACACAAAGAACGCCCTTCCATCACATCTGGTAAATGCTTGCCTCCACGCACCTCTGAATTGTCGAGTTCTTTAACATTGTGCTGGATTCTACTGAAATTTCCTTTTGATTATCAGACGACACGGAGCCCAAGAAGACGAAGAAGAAGAAGAACTGCATCAGTCGCTTCTTTTCCTGGGCCAGGAGGACATTTTGCTGCCGCATCAGTGTCGACGCTGAAGAGGTCTGAATCGCGCTATGAACACTTCTCTCGATGGATTTCACACCTGAAATGTAGAGAGTATGCGTATGATGGCACCAGGGGTGTGTTATAAAATAAGACAGAACATCTCGCCTCCACGCGTGTCTGAATTGTCGAGTTCTTTCACATTGTGCTGGAATCTACCGACATTTCCACTTAAAGTGGGGCCAGGCAGCAGCAGCTCATTGAGGTTGTCTCCCTTAAAAAAAGAGCAATTGAAAACAATCCCGTACCCTCCGTTTCCACACCGTTGCTGTCAGCAGAGATCAGGTGAGGCTGCTCCCTGAGGACAAGCCTTTGCTTCTTGTGGCGTGACCTGAAGATGGAGGAACCTCCAAGCATCTACACATGGCAAGTCCTTCCGTTTGGCACCACCTCCAGCCCCTGCTGTGCAACTTTCGCGCTGCAGAAAGATGTGATTGACCACAGTCAGCCAGATGAGGATGTCCGTATTTCCATAGAAAGGTCCTTTTATGTGGACAACCTCCTGCAGAGTCTCCCCTCTGTTGAAGAAGCCCGTCACCTGGTTGACAAACTGACATCATTGCTGGCTACAGGTGGATTTGAACTAAGCCAGTGGGCCAGTAACACCCCTGAGGTCATCAGCCACCTGCCCAGAGAAGCCAGATCCGAAAACTGAGTTGTAGCTCAACGAGTCAGGCACAGACCCACAAGAGCTTGCCCTGTGGCTCCGCTGGCTCTGCAATTCAGACACCTTGAGGTATAAATATTGGATGCTGGATAGACCCAAACCCACCATGAAGAATATATACCGGGTCTTGGCACATCTTTGCGACCTACTGGGCTTTATTGTCCCATTCACAATGTGGGCTAAGATCCTTGTGCAACACTTATGGGGAAAGCAAAGAGATTGGGACACTTCAAACCTCCAGCGAGACCTGAACATCTTTGCTGATCCTTCAGCGAAAGCTTACGGCAGTGGCCTACCTGCATGCAGAGAACTCACATGGCCATGTGGAAGTGTCTTTCCTAACTGCCAGATCTAGGGTGGCTCCAAAGAAGCAGAATCCGTGTCGAGGCAAGAGCGCTGTGCTGCACTGACAGCTGCCCAATTGGTCACACTACTGAAAAAAGAGCTGACGGTGAACATCCGCGAAGTAGTCTTCTGGACAGATTCCACAACAGTTCTCACTTTGCTCCAATCAGACTCCCGTCGATACAAAGTGTTAGTAGGAACAAGTGTGGCTGAGATCCAGGAGCTAACTAACATCTGGGCCTGGAGGTACGTGGACTCTGTCAACAACTCAGCCTTCAGGATCAGAGCGTCTCTTTGCAGAGCTGCGGCGCAAATACTGGATTCTGCATGGCCGTGAAGCTGTGAAACTCCATCAGCACTCCTGACCGGACTGCCAGAGGTGGAGAGCCACTCCAGTTGTGCCCAGGACGGCAGACCTCTCCCAGTCCAGACTGAGGCTGCTCAAGCCCGCATTTTACTCCACAGGCACAGATTATTTGTGCCCTTCACAGTGAAGGTCGGCCGTCGCCACGAGAAGAGATGGGGCATACTGTTCAATTTCTGTTTTTGAAAAATGGATTGCACCCAGTAATATGTTAAATTTGATATCTGCGCAAACTCTATGCTTTTCCTGCACGTCATCTCCGCCTGTCTGCATGTCTCAGCAGCTCTGGAGCGCTGGAAAAACCTTCCACAAGAGGCGGGTCTGTGAAGCAGTTTAGCCAATTGCTGATTAGAGATATGAATGTATGACATACAATTTAGCTGAACAGCATCTTGAAATGTATTCAGCTTTGGGCGAAATTTGTATCGCCCCAAGCTGTGCGTCCTCGTCAGGACTAGTCTCTAAAATTTTGCATAGACTTATAGACTTGGATCCCTTGATGGCAGTTCTAGGAATTATAGACTCTTAACAGAGTAAAAAATGGTGTAGAACACAATATGATTTCATTTGTTAGCCTGCTGGCACCAAGATTGATTACACCAACACATTTAAATCTAATGAGGGATGTTATGAAACATGAAAACAGAAATTTAACAATATTTGGCAACTTTTTATAGACTATTAATAGTATAAAACTTCCTGACCAGAGTTGAGAGGATCCTTTAGACCTAAACAGTAAATAAAGAAATTCACAAGTATGTACAGCAAGAAACGGAGTCCTGAGTTCCCCCCCCCTCCCTTTTGTATTTATTAATTTTAATTTAATTTATATTTTTCTTCTCTCCCACTATGTCCTTTCTCCACTTCTATGGAGGGATATATCGATGTATATGTTTATGCATTTTGAGAATATTGGATGTTACAAGCAACTTAGTAGGTCACAAAAAGTCACAGAGACTTGATAAAGGTGTCACATTTTATGTTTATCAAGTTTATATTGCATATTGTATGGAAGTGCGTGTGGATGTGTTTGAGGATTTATAAGTTCTGTAAAATGACAATAAACAAAGTTTAAAAATAAATATAAAAAAAATAAGAAAAGCAATTGCCCTAAAATAGATCCTTGTGGTACACCCCTCTCATCGTGTACATTAAAACCCCATAAAGAAGAAGGCAACATGCATCATGTTGACTCTGTCGTTCCCAGTCTGGCCACAGCCAGTCTCTCTGCCAGTAGCATTTTTCGTGCATGTTTTGATAGTGGATGTATGCTGTGATCCAGTGTTGGAGGGTTTACTGACGTCCTAAATTCTCCCAGTTTGACTATTGTGTCATTAGGATTTAAGGGTGCATCAAACTAGACTTATTCCTCTGTGGAAACACCGTAGTAAACAAGCAAAGCTAAAGTAGCTCAGAGCTGTCCGATTGCAGCACATTCCAAAGACATCTCTCAACACAGGAAAACTGGAAGTTTTCACTTCGAAAAAAAATCCACAGAAAACAGTTAAAGCAGCAGAATATAATAATATTCTTTGTGATAACAATTCTTTTTTGCTGTATGTAATTTAGCACACTAGAGTAGCATGTTAACAGTAAAGTTACCAGCTTTGGATGTCAATATCTTAATGTTCAGCATGTGCCATGTATCATGTTAGCCTGCTGTGTTAGCATGTTAACATGTTTAATGAGTGAAGTTTAGCATTAAAAGGCACAATGTGTTATTTTCTGCCACTAGGGGTCTCTCAATCAAAACAATAGCCAAAGAAAGAGTTTGGTTCGGTAGTGGGATCATGGGAGTTGTTGTCTTCACTACCATTGCAGTCAGCTTTTACACGTTTCTAATTTTTAAACTATTTCCTGAGACGTTTGCTGGAAAGGTCATTTTGATTTGATAACTAACCAACTAACATGATTTAAAATGCTGACTGTGTTAAATTGGTACACTTCAATGAATTATTTACAAGGACTTAATCTATTTGCTGGGGAAACGTACTAAATCATTAATTAGTACACAGGTCAGCTGAACATGAGTTTCCAATAATAAATGAATAATTAATTTCATAGAGATTCTCTCTGGAGTGTTGAGTGACAGACCAACTGATATATTGACGATGGCATCACTACAGCTACGTCTTTTCAATGAACAGAGTGCATATTGTTGACTCAGTAAGTTTCATTAAGATAGGATCAATGTAAAAAGTTGAGTTGGATCTGCTACTACAGCCACACCTGTCAACATTACAACATGGTATACACTTTTTAGGATTAGTTTGCAGTATGCAATTGGCTCACATGGTTAGACAACATTTTGACCCCATTAGCCCTTCAGAGTGATTCATGTCTTTGCTGGTGTTTTTCAGGGAGGTAGGAAGAGTGGTTTATTCAGTCCGTCCACAGCATCGCTGCCAGCCTTCAGCGCCTTAACTCCCAACACAGTGGACAGTGAACTGACGCTGAGACCCAGCTGCACACTGGGACCCGACGCTGCAGTCGCGGCTGACCCCACCTCCACGACAGGTACAACACGTCACTAGACACTCCATCAGAGCTCATGCTGGATCTCCTGCATGTTGGCTTTTCAGTTACTAAGGAAAACTGCTTAGTGGTTAGCTGGAGGCTATCTATCTAAGGATGTGTGTGACCTGGAGCACCCAAGACCCTCAGGCAAGTGTGAGGTCTTAACGTCGAAGACTTTTATTTAAATAAATGAGGTAACATAATAGTAATGAAGCCAATGGCCCACTGTCTGTGGCGACCATTCGGGTAAATATCACAAGTGTTGCACAGTAGGGAAGTGTTATCTAAAAACACACCTGCAATTACAGCTTCTCACCATAGGTGCTGCCAAAAGAACAAAAGTCCTGGTTGATACCTTAAATATATTGCTTACAGATACCCAGCTCTAAAACTTGGACTAACAAAAACCACTTCCCCTCCTCTCTCCTGTGTTTGAAAAGTGTTGGCCAGGTGCTCGGCCACACAGGACATCAGACAGCGCTGCAGCGATCCATGCCTGCCAGGGGGGGGACGCTGCAGCAGCGGCAGAGAAGAGGAAGGTTGCCAACGTTTGCTCTCCGAAAAGAGAGACGCCACTTTCACCCGAATGGAGCACGCTGAGGAAAAAGACCGAGGACGCTGTGAGTTGAAGCCGAACATCTGTCTCTCCAGTGTGAAACATCAATAAGCTTGTGTGATTTGCTAACATAATAACTTTCTAATGTCTGTCTAATGGTGACGAATCATGCAACCACACAAGATGTTGATTTGGAATGCATCTGATGTACAGTTTTTATCATCCCCTATGTTTTGTTATGTGTAACCTTTGACATTTCTAGAGGGCTGATTGTCATGGACTTCCTCCTACCCCTCAAGTCCATGTAAGTCTGAAATCTAACAGCATGTGACCTACGATAAAAGCTGACCAATGGCAACGCCCTGACGACTAACGAGATAAGCTTCCCCGCATGGCATGATTCAAACTGCACTAGGAACTGTTTTTTTATGTAAATCCAGCTGATGTTTTTATCGCTGCACTATTCCATCAAATATTTTCGGGTGTCTTTCGCTTACACATTTCCACGTGTATTTGGTATCTTTGGAAGCCTCAGCGCTCAGTTGATGCTGCTGGTATTTGAAGTCGCCAATGTGTAAAGTAGCCTAGTGCAACTTTGAACACATTACATAATGTTATTATTGTAATAATCATACATGCTGCTTTTGTTAGAATGGATGTCATTTCAAAATTGAAGGGTCACTTTAACCATGTCAGACCAATGGTGATTCAGTTGCTGTGCTGGTTCTGTAGATGGGAGCCTGTTTCTCCAAGGTCTTCAACGGTTGTCCTCTTAAAATCCACTGTGCCGTCACATGGGTTTTACCCAAGACGAGAGGTAGGACAATAATGTTTCTTAACAGCCATAGTAATAATGAAGTCAGCTTTGCTAGATACGTCATCAACTGTGCAAGAAACGATATCAATGCTCCACATTTATATTGTGGGCTCTTTGTGTTGTGATGCAGGAAACAATATTTTCCCTTTAACAAACACTTTCCCTTCTTAGATCAGTACCTGCTTCTTGGGGCAGAGGAGGGCATCTACACACTGAACCTTAATGAACTTCATGAAGACACACTAGAGAAGGTAACAAAAAGGGCGGATCCGTGTATTTACCATTCTTTTTGCTGGGTCGAGTTATCAGAATTCTCTTACACTATACGTGCTTTGTGGACTTGTCATTGTGTCCCTCAGGGAGTCCTATTGGAGGTACTGTGGAAATATTGTGTCCTTTCTATAAGCCATCTAGTCCAGAGTGTAGATACCAGACCCAAACTGGATGGAACCTGTCTTGACCCGGTTTCACACCAATATTTAGAAATGATGTTCAGGTTTGGGTCTGGTTCGGCCTACCGAACATGGTGCTTCACTTTCTTTTTAGTGAAATTAGAGTGTGTTGGGCTACTTCTTGTTTAGTGCTGGGGTTGGTTATTTAAATTTTTGTTGATATGGTTCTGTTGGTTTCCAGTGCACACTGGGTTGGTTTGCAGCTGAGTATGAGGTGAGAATGCCAACACCTCCAAGTCTGAGGCTTCGGTTCTCTGTCAGAAAATGGTGGTTTGTTTGCGAGTTGATTCCTCAAGTTAGATCATTTATCGTTGGATAAATTCTATTGTGATGAAATCCTGAATCCAGATGTCATGATACACAATTAAGTTGTCTAAATTGACAACTACAAGCACATACTAACTAACTCTGCACTTAAGTAAATTAAATTAAATGAGAAAATACACAATACTTTTCATTTGTCATGAACACTCACACAAGAGTATAATAAACCATGTGTTGTTTCTTCCACACTATTTAGTGACTGAATTACCAGAAACACTATCTCGCTATATATGTAGTTATGGAGATATGAATTTACCTATATTGTGATTGAAGGTATTCAAAGGGATTGTTCTGTGTTGTCTTGTCTTTCCTCCCACAGCTGCTCCCTCAGCGATGCACATGGCTGTATGTTATGAACAACGTGCTGATGTCCGTATCAGGTAACAAATCTCTAAAAATGACACATGGTTTTGTCTGAGAGAGAGTGGCGTGCTATCTGTTATCTGCTGCTCACAGAAAGTATCCGTCCCGCAGGGAAGTCCTCCCAGCTTTACTCCCACAGTCTGGCCGCTCTGTTTGAACAGAGAGGACACCTGCAGAAGAAACACGGCAGTCTGTCGCTCAGCACCAGCCGCTTCACCGAGAAGATCAGCTCCAGGTGGGACAGGGCGTTAGTGGTACAGTTGTAGTTGTAACAGTGTCATTCTTGATACTTCCACTAGGTGGCATCAAAGTAAGATGTTTTTACTCAACTGCATATTCTCTCTCAAGCCACAGAAAGTTTGCCACGTCTGTGAAGATCCCCGACACTAAAGGCTGCAGGAGAAGTAGTGTAGGTAGGTGAAGTAGACTTCGCTCTGCATGCTCTGTGTGTTTATCCAGCAATGACAACAACAGACTCCCAACCTTTCTACTCTCTCTCTCAGCACGAAACCCGTACACAGACAGCACATTTCTCTGTGGGGCAGTTCCATCTGGCCTCGTTCTTCTTCTGTGGTATGAGCCTCTGCAGAAGTTCATGCACCTAAAGGTTTGTACAGTCACCTTAACTGAAATATATTGCTTTATGTATTTCTGTTACAGGGCTTCAACCTGCACTGGTCTTATTGTAAATATCAGCTCGGCAATAATTCTGTGTTTTAAAGGGGCAATCTGTGAAGAGGTTACAGTGTTGACTAGGGCTGCAGCTAACGATTATTTTAATAATCGATTAATCTGGCGATTATTTTTTCGATGAATCGGATAAACTATACCTTTACTACTGTTATTAACGAGCTAAAGCTAACTTGTCATGCTTGTCAAGCTGAATAACGAGTAAACACCAGCACCAGAAGAGCTACTGGAGGGACGTTACGTTCCTCACTTCAAAACGGAACAAAAGTAGGATTCTGTAGTGACTTACCCTGCTGTTGAACTCCCTTCCTCCTCATCAAGGACTCCAACATGTTTACGTTTTAGGTGCTGAATCATCACCGTGGTGCTCCCGTGCCATGCCATGTCACTTTTGCATATCTTGCAATTAACACACTTCTTCGATTTATTTAGTGTGAAATGCTCCCACACCTTGGATGACTTAGGTCGTACTGATTTCTCTGCCTCCGCCATGTGTTTCAGAACGTTACGGGTCTCTCCGATGGGCTTTCCTCTACCTCTGCTCTTTTTTTTTTTTTTTTTCTTTCCTCCGCGCTCAACTCAACTTTTTTTTTTTAAGCTCAAACATCTCCGCGACTTATTGAGTGGCGTATACAACGAATCGATAATGAAATTCGTTGCCAACTCTTTTAATAATCAAATTTTATCGATTTTATCGATTCGTTGTTGCAGCCCTAGTGTTGACGTTATGTCAAATACGTTAATGTATTGTGTTGCAGAGGTATCTACTGAAATGAGCATGCTAACCAGCTTGCCTCGGCTCGTCCTGTCCAGGCAGCAACCTCCGGTTCTGTAGAGTGAAGCCAATGCAGAAGTGTCTTAAAACTTGAATTCTCTCTACTGACCAGCAAGGGGCGACTCCTTTGATTGCAAAAAGAAGTCTGATTATATAGAAATCTATGAGAAAATGACTCTACTTCTCTCTTAATTTATTACCTCAGTAAACATGAGTTTATGGTCTCAATCTCTACTTTCAAGTCTTCTTCAATACAGCATAATGATTTAATATACTGTGGTCCATTTAGTAGTTTGTGTGAATTGCTTCAGACAAAATTCCTGGTAAAGCATTGACAACGTGTCCTGTCGTGCCACACTTACCTGGTGTTATCAAAACCCTAAATCGATCCCATTCTTAGTACCATGTAAACTGACTCCTCCTCTTTGTGTTGCCATGTGTTTGCTCTGCAGCACATCGCGATGAGGCTGCCGGACTCTCTGCCCATATTTGAGCTGCTGGTGTTGGTGTCGGACGAGTTCCCTCAGCTGTGCGTCGGGGTGAGAGACTTTAGCAACGGGAAGCTGCCAATCAGCCAACAGCTCAAGTTTGATATTATAGAGCTGAACAGCACGCATATCTCAGCACCAGGTAGGATGGACTGTTTCTTCCTCTGGCCGTTTCTAGAGCCCAGCTTTAAGCTTCGACTCAACTCTCTTGTTGGTCTGCAGATAGCGGAGCACTCGGGGCAGTGCAGGTGACCCAAATGGACAGAGACACTGTTCTCATCGCATTAGAACGTAAGTAATCTCAACAGATGTTCCAATACTCCAGCCATCTTTCATGCCGTCTGCTAATATATCGCATCTCGATGGACAGAAACTGTGAAGATAGTGAACTTGCAAGGGCTTCCATCCAAAGAGCTGGCCGCTGAGATGGTCTTCAACTTCCAGATCGAAACTCTAGGTAGAAACAATCATGTGATAAACACAGTGAGTGATGTTTCTCGCTGACAGTTGAGTGACGTGACATGTTCTATCAGTCTGCTTGCAGGATAGCGTGCTGGCTTTCTGGAAGCACGGCCTCAAAGGGATGAGTTTTCATTCGAATGAGGTGATTAGCTTCAACATTTGCATCGTGACGGGTCTGAGCTGATGTCGTGTGTTTGTCATACGTTTACCACTTCTATAAAAATGTCCTCTTTATCTGCAGGTGACACAAGAAATTACAGATGCGAGTCGAGCATTCCGAGTCTTGGGAACAAACAGGTACATTTTCTAACAAAACACTTTGGTTCTTCACTGATGAAACAATACTAGTAGTACTGATTGTAGATCAAAATAAGCTAAAATTTAAAGCCGGGGTAGGCAGGTCAGTTTTAGCATCATTGGGCAAAAGAATCCATAACAATGTCTAGTTATTCATGTGATCTGAAAGAAAACTTCGTCACTTCCTCTTGGCTCTGTTCACAGGTTTTAGAAAATCTAGCTCGTTGGCCAATCACAGGTCATTTAAGAGAGGGGGCGTTTTTATTGGCTGCTACAAATGCAGACGCGTTCAAAATCTTGCTGTTTTTTTTTTTGCCTTTTCCAGAAAACTGCCTTCCCTGGGGTACCACTTGAATTACTATGCTGAAAGCTTATTATGGAACTTTTTGCCCAATGAAGCCAAGAAGAAAAAACTGCCTACCCCAGCTTTAATGAAGTTTTCAACGGGAGAAAAAAAGCGAACTCCAATTGCTCTTTGGGAGCTTCAAAAACAGTAATTTCAGTTTTATCTCTGTTTAACTGGAGAATATTTTGGCGCATCCAATCACTGTTTGGTTTTATTCTCTTACCGAGCAACGCATAGTGTCCTGGAAAACCTAAAAAACAGTTGACCGATTTTCCAGTTGTGGAAAGCACATGGGAAATAAGAGAAAAGATCAATTGTCCTGGAAAATTCAAAATTCTTCCAATTTCCTTCAGCTGACAATGAACTTATTGGCCCTTCTAGGAACTTCTAGGCCCTACAACCAAAAAGGTACCACCTAAAAAGACTTAGTTATTTTCATGGACATATTAATGTTCATGTGGTAGTTTATTGACAAGAGCAAGGGCGTAGGTTTGCATAGGGTCCATTGGGACTAGTCACGACCAAAGTTTGGGAAAGACACAATTGTCCCCACCAATATTTTGTTAATTTGAATTGCCTCAGACACTCAGATCTCCGTGGTCAACTCAGTAGACACTTTCACGTGAAATTCACGGTAAACGCATTCAAACGGCACAGATCAGGAGCGAGCGAAGGACCGTGAAAGTTAGCGGAAAGATTAACGTGAGACAACATCCGGTTTCTTCAGACGAACATTCGGTTTTCAGAATAAGATGCCAACAAAGTATGAATTATATTCACATTAAGTATAAAACATACTAACTGCATCTCGTGAGTTAAAGGGAAAATACACCTAAATTGTGCGTAAAGTGTCTTTATTCTTTGATCGCTGGGACTAATTACCTTGGAGTTACAGCATTATATTGATGAACAGTAGAGCTGCATTCACATGCTCTGTCTGTCATGAAGACAGACATTTTTGCTGAAACATGCTGAAACATTTTATTCGTGTTGCACAGCAGTGGAACGTTTCACATACAGTCAGCACACTGAGCACAGATAGTGAAGAGATAGAACTGCTACTGTGTAAAGAGAATACTGCTGTTAAAAATAACCTGATTTATTTAAAGTGTTTACAAACCAGATGTTATTGCCCTTTTGTTCATATAGCAGTACTTTTAAAATAAAAGTGCGCAATACACTACTTTTGAATTCATTATTGAACTTTGCCATAACAATGAGATTAATCGCGATTAATCGCAAAAAATCCATGCGTTTAATCGCGATTATTATTATTATTTATTTGGTGCAGAATACTGTTTTGTATTTAAACTAAGGTTTTGTTACTGTTATGTTTAAATCAGTTCCAAGTTACACAAATGTTAATATATTTTAATAAAGTTTGCCTGTTCAACATAATATCAACCAGGGGCGTCGTTAGGCCTATTTGAGGGGGGCTGAAGCCAAATAATTTGGCATTATTGGCTTTAAAAAAAAAAAAGAAGAAAAAAAAATATATTTTTTTATTTTGGTGATGTCATTAAATTAAACTATTGTTTCTCACATGGACAAGTTATTTATAACTCTAACATGCTACATATGTGAGTGTGTTCTGATTTGCATGTTTTCTCCCCCTTCAAATTACAATCCAATAGCCTATCATCATACTTAACGATATAAAGTTGACACTGTCAGGTCCATTCTCCATCCATTGTGTGCGGTCCCTTTAAGAATTAGGATTTGGGAGTGACGCGGATATTCTTTATTTGAGAAAAGTTCATATTTGTGTTGTCAAATTTCACTATGACCCTCAAATTCTGTCTCTTGTGTTATCATATACTGAATGCAAGCAAAACTACAGAGCAAAATCACACTTTCTGATTGAACCAATCTATGAACTGTCTGAAACAATGGATATCCGCGGCCCCAAATGGGCCCCATACAAAATTGCCGCGCGCAAACATGACACTCCCCTTGGGGCTAAGCCCCCCCTTTCTTTCAATCCTAGAAACGGCCCTGATGTCAACTAAGACTTTTTTAGATGGCGGGGGGGGGGCTGGCAGTGTCCCTACCAATGCTGAGACCAAACCTACGCCCTTGGACAAGAGTATTTAACAAACTGGAATGTCCTTGAAAACAACCAGTAGGTAAAAGAGGCTACCCTGTGATGGTAGCAGAATGAATAGAAGTAGTAGTGTGGAAAGGGTTCTTAGTAGTTAGCCGAGGGTTTATGTTGCGCCTATACTTTAGGATAATAATAAAATAACAAACACGGGGCTCTGCGTTCGGCGCCAAGATGGCAGCCACTTTATTTCTTGTCACACACACCTCTCCGAACCTCTTTCCCCTCGCTCTCCTTCCGTCTCCTCCTTCACAATAAAAGCGCACAACACATATACAGGAACCCTGCTTCTTAACATACTCAACATAATAGCTTACATACCTCCCCTCCTCCATAAAGAAACGTCCCCGTTTCTAAACATTCTAAGTGCAAAAAAAAAAATCACATTTCCAATCCCCGTAACATGTCTCTATAACACGACATTTGGCAGTAAAGAACATTATACACCCTTCCATCACCCAACTGCACAGCCTCCAGAAAATATGCCCCACTAATCCCAATAGACACCAGACATGGCTGATACCCCATAGCGTTTGGACACACCATCCATATAAAGCATGTGCTGCTACAATGAAGAAACATGTTGACAGGCATATTCACACATTTATCACTCAAAAATCAGTTAACGATAAGTGACAAAGTCCTTTAAATATGCTGGTTGTCTCACAACTCTCTTTGAATGAGTAACAGTCTGTTGTGGTTCACTGGTGCCCGTAACCAAAACAGTCTCTGTGCCACCAGTGAACCGTGGCTCTTCCCCCGCACAGTCCTCCTCTGGTGACCCCTCGTCCTGTAGCGAAGGAGCATGGTGAGGAGAAGCTGGGAGGCTACTTGAAGAACCAGCAGGCCGTAGCAAAGTGTAAGGTTTCAGTCTGTCATAATAAACAACCTGCTCTGGTCCGTGGAGATCAAGAGGACTGCCAATGCGATAGATGAGTCCTGGTTCCCCTTGAGAGTCCAACACAGCCAGGACCCTGTAGGGCCCCTTCCAGTGCGGAGCAAGTTTCATGCAGTCCTCCGTAGGATTATGCAGCCATACGAGGTCTCCTTCTCGATACGGCTGATGACGTGCCGTTCCATCATAGTACAGTTTTTGTTTTTCATGGGCATCAGCACCACACTGTCTGACACCACAAAAAGCCGTCTCCAGCCTTTCCGCCAGAGAGGTCACAAAGTCAGCATGAGAAAGAGGCAAGTCCAAGCGCACCATTTGCAATGGCACCAACACATCCACCGGGACACGAGCTTCCCGTCCATGAGTTAAGAAGTAATGTGTGTAGTTAGTGGAAGCATGAACAGATGTGTTATAGGCAAAAGCCTCCTGTTTCAGATACTCATCCCATTCACCTCCGCAGGCAAGCAGTGATTTGGCCAGTTGATCAATGAGAGTCCGATTAAATCTTTCGACCATGCCGTCAGATTTGGGATTATACGGCGTGGTGCGTGTTTTCTTAATCCCTAAAAGTTGACACAGTCTTTGAACAACCCTAGCTTCAAACTGCTGGCCCTGGTCACTGTGAACCACTTCTGGAACGCCATGTACCAGCACGTAATCCTCAAACAGACACTGATTGGGCCGTTTGATTAGGAAGAGCATACAGGTTTACAAACTTGGAAAAGTAGTCTTCTACTACTAACACATATCTGTTGCTCTTAGAAGTCACTGGTAATTCAAGAATGTCCATTGCCACTCTCTGGAATGGTCGAGTCGCTTGGGACCCACCCATTGGTGCCCGGTGCTTAGGCACAGGGGCTCTGCGGGTCTTTGAACATAGAGGGCCAGTAACAGGTTTGCCTTGCTCTTTCCCACACTTGTTCCACTGAGAAGTGCGCCGACACATGGCCTCCATGAAGATGATGCAGCACATCAGGGACAAGCAATGAAGGCACGACCACTTGATACTGAGCACCCCCAGTGAGGGAGGACGTCACTCTCCGGCAGAGTAGGTTATTCACCACAGAAAGACGAGGATATTCAGTCCATAGCTTCCGCAGCCACCTGGAGCTGTCTCTCATCTGCCCCGAGATGGTCGAGAATCCCTCCAATCCAACACCGTAGCAATATCTGGGTCTGCTTGTTGCAATTCTTTCAGTCCAGTCCAATCATGTGAAAGTGCATGTCAGTACAGGTCATTTATCTCACTGTCCGGTTCCAACGGCTGCCCCCCTGTGATAAGGTTAGACGTCGGGAGGTTCGCCGCGGATGGCGGTGTCAACAGACTGTCAGCTTGGGAAACACCCGACTCCCTGTCTGAGCCTACTGCATTCACATGTGTGGCAACTTCTCGTGAGGCGTCATTCACCGTACCAGCCACAGGATCCTGTGGCCGCCGTGAGAGAGCATCAGTATGCTGTTTTCCATCCTTGTGTTGAATGACCCAGTTGAAAGGATCCAGCTCCAATATCCACCGTGCTCTTCTTCCAGTGGGATCTTTGTCAATAGACATGGTGCGGAGGCCCAACAGAGGCTTATGATCGGTTATAATGGTGAAGGCAGCCGCTCCGATGTAATGTCTGAATTGGTGTACAGCCCACACTATAGCCCACAGTTCTCTGTCAAACGTGGACCGGCGCCTTTCGGTGGGAGTGAGCGACTGACTAGCATACACCACCACTCTCTCTAGTCCTTCCCTGTCTTGAGCCAACACTGCCCCCACTGCTTCCATGGAGGCATCTGTGTACACTTTAAAGGGGACGTTGAAGTCAGGCATAGTGACGATCGGGGCCTCTGAGAGCACCCCTTTAAGATACTCAAAAGCCTCATTACATTCAGTGGTCCATTGGAATGGTGTGCCTTTACACGTCAGGTGGTGCAGAGGTGCTGCACGCTTGGCAAAGTCCTTCACAAAACGTCTATAGTAAGAGCATAAACCCACAAACGCTCTCACTTCAGTTGGATTCCGTGGTGTAGGCCAAGTTCTGACCTTGTCGGTGTTTCGAGGGTCTGGCTGTAGGCCGTGGCGAGAAACAACATGCCCCAGGAACACCACATGATCTTGAGCTAGGTGGCACTTTTTAGGGTTTAGTTTGAGACCTGCCGTCTGGATCCTGGAGAAAACTTCACGCAGACTGGAGAGATGGCTCTCAAAGGTGGGGCTGTATATCAGAACATCATCGAGATACACCATACACACCTGCCATGGCAGCCTTCTTGGCACCAGCTCCATCATCCGCTGAAACGTTGCAGGTGAGTTGGTGAGGCCCATAGGCATCGACCGCCCCTGCCCGTCGTGAAGGCCGTTTTCTCTGTCTTCCTCAGCAACCTCAACCTGCCAGTAGCCATTAGAGAAATCTAATGTGCTAAACCACAGGGAGCCTGCTAAGGCATCCAATGTACCATCCACCCTGGGAAGGGGATGACAGTCTTTCACCGTTACACTGTTCAAGCGACGGTAGTCAATGCAGAATCTCCACTCACCATTCTTCTTTTTTAGGAGGACAACAGGTGAGGCCCAGGGGCTGCAGCTCTCTTCAATTACCCCGTCAGCCAACAGGGCTGCCACCTGCCTGTCTATTTCTCCTCTCTTTTCTGGTGAAGTCCGGTAGGCGCGCTGTCGCAGGGGAGGGTGATTGCCAGTTTTGATGTGATGTTGAATAAGCGTGCATTTTCCAGTCACTCCTCTGGATGTGCTGAATATCTCCTGGTGTTCTGCCAGCAACGCAACCAATTGTGCCTTCTGCTGCTGACTAGCCGGAGACTCCTCCAGTGATCCAAAAGGGACTTCAGTGGATAAATTGGCAGAAACTGTCTCCACTGGGATCTGAGGGAGTGACACAAGCTCAGACTCATTCACCGAGAAAAACTCCCCTAGATGCATGCCTTTTCTCAGTGCCATGTCTCGACCAGTAGGATTTAACACACGGGCGGTAGTAACCCCATTCTTCACCGAAGTCACTGTGTGCGCAACGACACACTCACTTTTACTCCGGAGGTTAGGCGCTAAGTAGCCCACAAAGTCAGGCAGTTGGTCAATGGCCCCGGCCGGGGACACACACACTGGACCAGCATCTCGCTGGCAATGTCATAGCAGTAGCGATTGAGACGGTTATTTGTTTCTAGGGGTGTAACAATACACGTATTCGTATTAAACCGTTCGGAACGAGGCTTACAAACCGAACAATACGTTTGAATAATACTATTGCATTTGGAAAATGCAGAAGCTTAAATTGTGGGAAATATAATTTTTTAGGGGGACTTTGCTCAAACTGGCAACCCACATGTCGTAACAGACAGCTGCCTGACACTCCGACCCCGGATGAAAAACATTCTACACGTGACGCTAAACTAGCTTAGCGAAAATGCATATAGTCAGACTCAATGTAATTAACACAATGACAAGAACAAACTCGCAAGAACCAGTCACATATATTCATATCACAACAAAGCATGACAATCCAGCAACACTGCAGCACTAAAACAGTATTCCACCGCACACTAAAGAACACGAGCCATATTATTCACATCAGAGGGAACAATATTAACCATATCATAAAAACGACATGATAGACAAATGAACACAGTAGTAACACTACTGCAGATGTAAAAACACAAAAGCAATTCACTTACCACAGCTGCTATTCACTTAAAGACAAAGTCCATCCTCCTTTCTTTGTTAATGAAGAGTTTAATACCGCGGTTGTACAGAACATTGGTTCAGTTCAGTTCCAGTCAGAGGTCGTCCTGCGAACGTGTTCGTTGAGCTGTAGATCCACTCGGGTCTCTCCAAAAGTTTTCAAAAGCACCGCAGTTTGTGAGTGTGTCGTTTTGCTGCCTTGGTTAGCGTAGCGTATCTCCAAACGGCTCCAAACACCAAGATGCTCAGTTGCAAATAAAATGCATTCCCAGCCATAAAATGTGCAACGCTTCTCCTATGCTGAAATACCGTTTGTACAAATCCTTTTCCATGCTGGGCCAGCTGCACGTTAATGTTGACGTACTTGTAGGCTAGCTAGAAGGCTCTAGTATGTCAAAGAATATGCCCAACATGTCAAACTAAAGATCTGATTGTTGGAAGACAATGACAATCAACAATATCGTCCCCATTCACTTAAACTGCAAAGGGATTCAACTTGTGAATCTGCAGGCATCGGGCCTCTCTTCTTACCTAGAGACACAGAGGTGAAATCTGATTGGATAAAAGCTCTACTTAAAACAAGCTGCACTGGAAGCAGAGCAACTGAGGAAGACAGGAGCTGTGCAATGAGAAAATAAGATAATGGGTAAAATATTTTTATAAATTATAATACATATAGTGTATTAAAAAAAAGTATTAAATTATGAAATAGCTATAACTTTGTGATTCTGGCGGCCCATCACTGAGTAGTGGTGTTTCTTGTGAACGAAATGCCTCCAAGCACAAATTTCTATCAGGATAAAGTCATGACATTTTCGACAGACGGGCATGTAAACTGCAACTTGACTGGCAGAAGTTTAAGGCCGCTTGGTGGTAATTTTAGTTCATTATTAAGATAAGGAATGTGTTCTTTCCTCTTTTAAAGGTATCATTGTGAGATTTATTATTTACTTATGTGTTTATAGTGCCCTCAAATCCCAGATTTAGATACTGTGTGCTAGCATAAACTGAAGCATTGGGCCAGCTCTGCGTTTCTTTGGTTGTTTGATCGTGCCCCCTCCCCTTTTTTCATTCTTGACATTGTACAGGGACATCATCCTCCAGAGCACACCAACAGACGAGCCCTCAGCACTCAGCAACCTGTACATCCTGACCGGACATGAAAGCAGCTACTGAGAGAGAAAAATACGGGTCAACTTCTTCAGCACTCACACTAAAGAGAAATGCAGATCAGTTCTATAACCCAGTGGCGGAAAACCAAGCCGCAGCAGACCCCAGCACTGACTGTCTATGCGTGATAAATGTCAGTATGAAATTCAGTTTCCCATCCAGACTCAAACTGTAAGCGGTCTGGCGACACGTGTACAAGAGACAATTTCTAACTCTTACGTCTGCTGATTAAAGCTGCAAAAGCCAAGATTTTCATGTCAAACAAATGTTCTCTTCCCATCTTAAATCCCAGAGAGACTGCTGCAGGGAGCACAGTTCCATTCCTGATAATTGAGATCTACTGCTGTCAGATTGTAGAAAATCGTGGACATGATATCTGTGACAGCACTCATACGTTTCTGAACTGTTGTTTTGAAGCTTTTATTTGTTTACTGCTTGCTGCCGTCTTTGTCAGTCACTGGAACCAGGACATTTAGTCAAATAGGAGGAACCAAATGCGATAGGCTGAGACGGTCTGTCCATCAATCACACAAATCAACCTTAACATCCCCTTAAAGTAATAACGTTTCTCAAAAAAGCCACAAGGATGCACTGTAAAGGAAGTGAAAGCATTTTCTTTTTTCATTGGTTGAACTGCAGCTTCATCACTCAGATAATTTTCTGGGTATATGTGTCTGTCCACACAGTAATGCTGCGTTCATGTCATGTCGAAGTTACTGTAATTAATGCTTTCGCTTCCAGTCAACATTCAAGTCACAACCGTGAAAGTCAGATTATTCAGAAAGCTCTGAATTTATCTAAGTTGGTGCTCAGTGATACAGAAGCCAAAGTATGGGGCTAGTGGAAAGTTGTCTAATGACGTGAATGCTCCAAATTTGTAAACATGGAAATCTTTCACACTTCTACCATCCATCCCATATGACCTGAACGCGGCATATACTGTATGTCAACTAGCTACGGAAGATGATTAGGGCGACATGAGAAATGTTAATTTGAGTTTAAAGTGGGAATTCTGAGGCTGTATAGTGAGTTTGCCATTTATTACCGCTGTTCCCAGTGTATAGTGAGAATTATTATACCCTATATGGTGGACTAAATGTATCCCACAATGCATCATGAAAAGTAGTGGTCACTAACCAGGCACTATAAACCATTATGCATTGTCTGCGATGAAGGAAAAATGTTGAGAGGAAAGAGCAGTACGACTGAGACAAACCCATGAGTTGTGACACAAACATCCACAAAGTATTTATTAAATATGCTTATTGTCCTCGTATTCATTGACATCTGCAGCGCACACCGCTTTACTCCTTCCATTCTTACCTTTCACAATAAAAGCCCTAGCAATATACGCAGCATCACTAGTTACCAGGGGGAACTTAAATTCACTCAGAGCATTTCGCTAAGAGGCAACTCAACAAAAAAGCTGAGAATATGTTTGTTTTTTCTCACAAAAATGTATTTATTATGGACTGTCCATCAGCTGACGTTGATCTGGCACGGTTCAAGTGTGCAACAGCAGTGAAAATGACCCAAGTACACAATATCTCAAGAATGGCTGTATGAACTCATTTGATTTTGGAGGTCAAAGGTCAAGATAAATGTGACCTCTCGTCCGTCCCATTCTTGTGATATCGCTGGAACGCCTTGAGGGGGATTTCTTCAAATTTGGCACTAACGTCCACTTGGCCTCAAGGAGGAACTGATTATAATTGGAGGTCAAAAGTCACTATGACCTCTTAAAACACGTTTTTTGGCCATAACTCAAGAATGCATGTGCTAATTATAAGAATTTCACTCAATTACATTTTTCACATGTGGCGCTAATCATCTTCCGTACGAGCCAAAGCAGCACTAAGTGATTTTAGTTGAGGATTCTCCATCACTCAAACAGCAGATTACTTTTGGAGTACCTGCCTTGTTTGGTTTGTTTATTAAAGGAATACGTGAGGTGTTCAGGTTCATTATGAATAGTCGGTACACTAATCTAAATGTATGAAATCAATTTAAAAAGAGGACTCCATACTGCTCCTAATGAAAGAACATGTCCGTGATATTTAGATTATCGGCTTGAATATTACAAAGAGTGTATAACCCCTCAAATGTAAACTTACCCGAGACCACATCATTCTGAAAATCGAATTTAAATGTATTTTAATGTTCGTGAATGTGCCGCCATGTTGAGAGAGGCTGAGTCCTGTTCTATATGTGAACCTGAAGTGTTCTTTCGTTGCCGTCAGTTACCCATTGGTGCCAAACAACTGTGTCCCTCCTCCCTCCTTTATTAATTCAACTTAAACATAGGCTAAACGTACATTTGATTACATGAGGTGCCATAGAAACTGAATGCAATTAAAGTGTACTTCTACTAGTTTGACTAAAATTTAAATTCCACTACATGAGAGTTTTGTGCGTAATGATATTTGTTATTTATGGAAAGGGAACTGTACAAGTAACACTCACCTTTCCCTGAGACATACTTGAAAGACATAATATGCATATGGATATTTGTTTTTTTAAGACGTTTTTATTGTTATTGTGTATACATTTTAAGTATATAACAATACAGTATGCCTTTACGGTATAAAAGGGTTGTAATATGCACAATAAAGATTTTAATATCCTTTCAAGCTGAAGTATACGTTTCATTGTCGTTACAAAGATTCACTTGTAGCCTCAACAGAGGTTTAGTCAACTGTCAGAATACAGTAATGCTCAAAACTTTATTTTCCATTTCTGAACAGGAAAAAAACAACTCTTAATGTTTTATTTTATCTGGGAGCTTTTGGAAATTGTAAGCCCTAAGGGGTTTCAATTACATGTAAGAATATCTTTATTACAAGCCTTTGTGAATGTAATATTTACTCCACGATATGTTTTGCTGTCAAGTACGTAAGAAACCAACAAAAGATATAACTCAAAAGCAGTGGTGGGCCGTGCATTTCATACCTGTTAGGTACCATAACTGATTTAATGAGCCATTCGCAGTTTCACTGTACCGGCCGTGTGTACTTAGACTTGCATGGCTTAATCTTTGAGACAAGCATATGCTACTGGCAGGATCAACCAGGTAGGTAGACAAACTACACCGACTGTTGTCCTGCAGCTGAAATACCACCTTATAACCACATGATGGCGCCACAGATATCAGTTTCTAAGGCTGTAACTATGTACATATTAAATGTACGTAACGTTCGGTACGAGACTTGCAATACGTTTGAATAGTACTAGAGCATCTGGAAAATGCAGAAGCTTATATTCAGGAAAATATAATGTTTTCTGCACTCATGGAGGACAGTGGTTCTCAGCTGGTCTGGCTGTGGGACCCACCATCACTCCTTAATGACAAGTCACGGCCCAAAGAGATCGTCTTATGATTTTACTTTCACAACTTGAGCATTGTACGTACTGCTCTGCAGCGTCTTTCCTCTTCTCAGCACCCTATGTCATGGTGCATCTCACTCAGTCAGAATGCCCATATTTGATTGGCTGAGCTGCATCACGTGATGTGATCAGTGACCCATCAGTGACCCATCAGCCTCTGCTGGCTGTTAAGTTTCGTTTCATGATAGTCACGTGCTCGCCCACTGACCAATCACAGCACACTCTGCACCTCGCGGCAAAACTACACATAGACACTGAGCGGCATGTAATGCTGATGTCATTATAGGCCGGCGTGCAGGCTCTGATAGTCAAAGAATACGCCCAACATGTCAAACTAAAGATCTGATTGGTTGAAGACTATGACAATCAACAATATCGTCCCCATTCACTTTAATCTGCACTGGCTGCAGGGGAGAGTGTGCAGGCCTCTGCCTCTGTTCTTACCTAGAGACACAGCGGTGAAATCTGATTGGATAAAAGCTCTACTTAAAACAAGCTGCACTGTAAGCAGAGCAACTGAGGAAGACAGTAGCTGTGCAATGAGAAAATAAGATAATGGGAATAATATTTTTATAAATTATAATACATGTAGTGTATTTAAGAAAAAATATTAAATTATTAAATTATAAAATAGATATAACTTTGTGATTCTGTTTAGGCCAGCAGAGAAGGCCTTGCAGGCCCTGACGGCCCGCCACTGCTCAAAAGTATATGTCCGGCCATAAACACAAGTAAAAAATCAATTATACTTTCAGAAAATCCTTTTGTTCTTTGCTTATATATCTGCAAGGAACTGTGAACTTTTCTAGGCCCACAGCTATGTTGAGAAAAGATGAAATGAACTTGATTGAGGCTTGCTTTCATTGAATAAATGGTAAGCCACTGCCTCCACCTAAGGTTCAGGTTGCAGCCTTCAAGCGAGAATCAGCACCTGCACATTCTGGTAGCAACTAGAACCTCCACCTAAAGCCTCTGCCAAGCAACCTGCAGTTGCTCCCTCCACCTGAAGAGAATAAAGTTTCTTTTAATCGTGAATGGACTTGAGAAGATGATCTGATATCATCAAGGAGGAACTGTCCTATTGCCATGAGAAGACCTAAGTTGGAGGAGCAAAGGGACACACTGAGTCTGGTAAAGAGAAGCTTCTAGAGAACAAACAGATCAGTGTGTAATAACAGTCTACTGTGCTGATGGATTAAAGCTACCTTTATGTTTAAATGTTCTCCATCTTCTCCATCATATTGCATGAAGGAAGAGCACACAACCATCAACATCATCTGGAAAACGAGACGATGACGCTGAACTTCATCTACCAGAAAGAGCTCTTCCTCCTCCCACAATGCTTTGCAGTTAAGTTACCACATCATCAGTGTGATGCACATCTAGTCCAATTTTGGCCTCTTTCCAGCCTGAGCAAACGTGTGTAAGCATCAGGTTCTAATAAAAACATCATGAAACAGTGAAATCAACTGTCCTGAGCCACTTTTTTGAAGAAAATCTATGAAACTGTTTACTTTCACAAAATCCACTTTTGGCCTCTTCCAAGTCTGAAACGTCTT